TGGCACCCACTAATGTGAATATTAATTACAAATCTTTTAATACTCGCGTCTTACTTATTTCCATGAACCCGTCAAGATCGACTTCCTCTAAGTCGCTCCTTGAGTGCTCCTCTATCAGCTTTTTCACCTCAGCCTTTTTGACATCTAAATCCAAGGCTCTCATTGCAACCTGCAAGATATGCCTTAGAGGAATCCCATGGTGTCAAACGTTAATTACCTTTACCTCCCGATATGACAGCCTGCCGCTTTTTCTAGTGTCGAACAGCTCAAACGCCATTCTTATCTCCTGCTTTTCGTCCTCACTGATGTCACTCCGCAATCTTCGTGTCACAACTGCACGTGGGACACCGGCCCCATATAAGGCAGATGATGCTGTGGTTGAGCCCGAGCCCAAAGCTGACAGTCGTGCAGCAGCTGAAAACGGTGGGATTGGTGACGTACGTGCAGACTCCACAGTGGGTGCCACTTGCCCTTGCAGAGATGCAGCAACAGGCGTGTTGACTCCGTTGTTGTTGCTTCCTGAAGTTGTGGTTGCCCATCTTTTGTAAAGGTGATGGCGGTGATGATGGTGAAGGGGAGGTGGGATTCCCATCGCTTCCACTTGCTGCTGCATTTTACAAAGATAAACACAAAGAAAATAGTTTCAAATTTTTGACCTGGCAGTTAGAGGTATATACTGGATTTTAATTCTCTTCGTCTGTATTATGCCAGGAGCACCTTGTTGGTTGGTTGTTCTTTTTAGTAAGCTCGGGCTTACCTCTGCAGAAAGTGACAAGAAAACTTCTTCCCAAATTCGCTGAAAGTTCTCAACAAACAGTTTTCCCACAATGTCGTACAACAAAATTATGCAAAATTAATGTCAAATAGAAATTCCACAATCATCATCAAACTCTTTATTTAAAGTTGCTATTTTGGCATCGGCGTCACATATTCCATTTTTAGAATATTCAATTTTACTTATGGTAGATACTATTAATCCGACTATCCAAATCTGTGACGATTGATATCGACGGCCAAGATGGCAATATGGGAGGCACTGTTTCAATTCTAGATTTGCAACCGCTCCATCGACTGGGAGGGAATGCTTTGCTTATGTATGCTTTGCAGATTGGATTACGAGGGGATTCACGTTGTCATCGGTTCTTCACTCTTCTGGTGGGATTGCGCAGGGACGTACACCTGGAGCAAGCCTGTGATGAAAGGAACGCACCCTTCTCCTCAAGACAGCCACAGCTCAACGGCCGTCGGGTCTAAGCTCTATGTGTTTGGTGGTACCGATGGAACCAGCCCGCTCAACGATCTCTTTGTTTTGGATACTAGTAAGCTCCGAGTTCTATCGATTTTTTTTTCTTGTTCTTATCACCTGATGCAGCTACCAACACCTGGGGGAAACCCGACGTTTTTGGTGATGTTCCTGCTCCGAGAGAAGGACATAGCACGTCTCTCATCGGTGACAACCTGTTTGTGTTTGGGGGATGTGGGAAATCCAGCGATCCCTCAGAGGAGTAGTACTACAACGACCTCCATGTTTTGAACACGAGTATATCCTGTTATCTTTCCTTGTTTTCTTCTAAACTTTTTTTTTCTTCCTGTAGATACTTTTGTCTGGAAGAAGATTTCTACCACTGGAGTCTCGCCTATTCCTCAGGATAGCCATACCTGCTCTTTTTA